TCTGCTGTTTCTTTTTTTTTAATCCATCTGTCTTACAAAGCAAGCACAGGACAAATCCTGCTCTCACTGAAGTAAACAGCCTACTTTTACAAATGCAAATCCCACAGACAACACAGACCAAACGGAGGGGAACACTGCATTCAACAGCCAAAGGATGTGCTCAATTAAGAGCAAGCAGGCCACAGAACCTCAGCATGGGCAGCCTTGAGCTAACACCTTTTAAAAACCAAATAACACATTTCTTATGCAAAAAAAAAAAAAAAAAGTTCTAGCATGCAAGAGAAACGTCACATTGCAGACTTATGATTTAAGTTGTTGTTGATAAAATAGCTTTCCAATTACCCAGGCCCTCGCAGGAGAAGCAGGAATGCCTTATGTGTTAATGATCGCAACCAGGGGTCCGGGCTTTACTCTTTTGTCAGAACTGGAGCAGATCCTCCCCGCAGCTTCACCATTAACATGTCTGTTTCCTGTCAGACCACTCAGAGATAATGTCATTTATCTCAGGGCGGCACAAGACCAGTCATTAGCTTCAATAAAAGACCTCAAACAAAGGCCGGATGGCGTTTTATCCAGGGCTCATAGGCTGCAGCCAAAAATCTCATTGCCTAACAGTTCAGAACTTAAGTTACCTTTAAAAGAATAATTTTCCAGCTTTCAACAATTCTAGAACGCTTCTCTGAAGAGCAGAAAAGTCTCTGCATGGCAAATTTTAGTCAATGGTTTTATCATATACAATTAGGTGACTGATAAGAGCTTGCTAAAGTTATCCTTTGAGAGTCTTTTTCTTTCTCTCTTTCTTCCTTTCTTTCTTTTACCTCTCCGGGAAAAACTGACAGAATAATTCAGGTTCTAGCTAAATAGTAAGATCTTTGAAGAACTGACCCTCATTGTGTTTGCCTGCAGGAGGTGATTCACTATTATAAATTCTTCAATGACTGAGCTTCTGGAAATCTCTTTAAATGAAAGTGGAACCGGTTAAATGTATGTATGAACATGTGTTTTCACAGTCTCCCCCGTATTATTGCATTTCAGAAAGCTTCTATAAAGTGCCAGGTGAACTTTTTTAAATAATGATAATAATAAAAAAAGAACGAGAGTCAAACAGTATGAGCAAATCACAGCCATTCAATTCCTGTTTTTATGTTGAAAACTAGGAACAGATGGTACTTTCCACGTTACTTGAGTTTGGTTATTGAACACCTCTGTGGTTACGGGAGATTTTGCTTAGCACTTTTAACATACATTTCATTTATTGGACTATAAAATGCTACTTTGGAAAAACAAGTTTTTATATAACTGTAATTAAAACAATCTTGCAGCAAAGCCCTTTAACATGGAGAACGTGCTTAACCTCATGACATCTGGACAATCAATCCTCTCCTTTTTACTGGGTATTTATGAAGTTATTAAAATTGTAAAATTACTGATGCCCAAAGTGAAATATTTTTCCCAGTAGTTCTGAATCAGCTTATCACCGGCGATGCTTGGCTGCGCGCGTGTTCTAGAGCGGCCTCCATTGCGTTAAGGCTAACTCTCGCTCTTGCACAGGAATTCAATGGCAGCTCCCGGTCACACACATTCGCAGGGGTCAGCAGGTTCAGGCCAAAAGCTTTCCTTCGGCCAAAGGGCAACACCTCTTCACCCAGCTCCAAAAGCTCCGTCACACTACTAGACAACACTACAGAACTTTAAGAACCTTGAGCTGCGCTTATTGTTAGACACCCATAGTTATCAATGTTTTTAACAGCTAAATCCCTTATGTAGCTTTCAAAACAGTTTGCTGTCAAACAACAATAGACTTTGTTCTGTAATTACAGCAAGTGACCCCCCCTGCCCTTTTATTTCACAGTGAATAAACTACACCCAAGGCCAGTGAGAAAAGTACATGAAAAGCATATCTCCACAGCATCATTAATCACAGCACGTACTTAAATGACTTGCATCAATAGGTAAAAGGCGCACAGAATTTCCTGACGAAGTGTAAAACACCCTCAGTCCTGCTATAAAAAGTGAAGAACAAAATAAGCAATACCCGCCAACACGCTATAATTTATTGAAGACAACTTTCAGGCATGAAATGCAGCCTTAATGAAAAACAATAAACTAATACAAAAGAAATAAATTCCATCCTGGAATATTACTAGACGGATTCATTTTAAAACTGCAACCAGAGTTTTTACAGCTCTGCCTTACAGCTTCAGCCTTCTGCATTATTTCCACTTAAACACACACATTTTCATACACCAAATATAACCTTTCCATATCTCAGAGTGAAGTGAGCCCTTAAATCCCAAACTCTTCCTGTAACACACAAAGGAAAACTGTGTAGACAATCTGAACGCTTTTCAACGTAACAGCTGTTAAAATTACAAGAGCATTGCAAAAGATGAAGAGTTCATGCTGACAAACCCTCAGTAACTGTGCTAAAAAAAGTGTGGATGAGGAATGGAGACAGGTTTTAACACCAAAAATCTTAGGAGTGGTTAGCATACCTGTCAAAGCTACTTATTCAGACATGTCACTGGTGGCTTAACCACAAAACGGGCTGCACGAATATAGCTCAAACATCTTAGAATTACAGCATGCTTTGACTTTATCCACATATTAGGGGAGTGGCGACTTTTACAACATACTTGTGGTTTCTGCATAAAAGAACCAGCAGAACACAGTCATTGATTTAATTAGGCTTCATAAGATCCAATTTATCGTGTTTTACATGACTTTCTGCAGCAAGGAAACAGAATAAATAGACCAAAAATAGACACTGAGGCATGCTGTGAAAATTAAACAGTGACTACAACTCTTGGGAATCTGCTCCAAGCTTTTCACAACTAGTAAACAAATGCAATATTATATTCCACACCACATACAAAAAACCCTCAGGTTTTGAATCGGTAGGCGTTAACTCACTTGTATCAAGCAAGAAAGCACACAAATTCACGAGACGTGTCTTTCATGAACATTAAGACAACTGGAAACTGATTTAAACATGCAGGCTTGAAAATTATATATTCCTCTACAGACACAAAGGTGCTTTGTGCAAGTTATCGCACACCTAGCGTGTAAACAGTCAACACAAGAACACTTTAATGAATCTAAAATCCTTTTAAAAAAATCATAATGATTATTAAATATTTGAGGGAGGGGGGAAGCCAAAACAACAAGCATAAAACATTTTAAGTTTCGCTAATAATACCACAGGCTGGGTTTAAAGTTGCAACTGCTGTCAGCAAGGAGCTTCATTATTATCATATGGCTAGAAAGGAACATTCTTTAGGAAGAGAAACGCTGCGAGATGGTATTTAAGACAGCAAGCGAGCACACCATTGTGCCAGACAATGGCCAACGCTGCACGACTCTAATGGGCGAAGCCTATATTAAAGTCACTGTGTGCCAACAGCAGTGGCTGTTACTGGAAATGCAAGCTGCAAACCTCCCGGAGAAGCAACAACTGCAACACAAAGTGCGCTGCCGCCTCTGAACCACTCCATACGTGTTTGCTCTCAATTTACATCTGATCCGATTGACATTGCACGTACGACTACTCGCATGTGTATGAATTCTTCATACAATTTCCTGTGTGACTAGAGAGGGAAAAGAACACAAAAACTGGAGAAACCACACCACTCTCTAATCTCTGTTGCCATGACAGCAGCCTTTGAGATACTGAAATGTTCAGATTGCCAGCTAAACAAAATTGTTGAATGTGAACATTTGGCTGAAAGATTAAAAGGCTAAGGGGGTTGCAAAAGGGCAGTACCTCCCACATTCCAGGCAGCCACTGAATCCAATCAAATGGCTCTGACTCTTTAACCACAGCCATTGTGAAGACCGGATTAGGGCAATTTATCTAGATAGTTAAAGCAGATTAGAGAACTGCAATTTGAAGACTATTGGCAACAAAAGTAAATGCCTACTGTACTAAGTTAATAAAGAGACCATGGGATTTTAGGACACCTTTCCGCAGCGAGCGCAGCTTTCATAAATCAAAGTGCAAACATATCCCCATGAATTAAAGCAATCTGGGTTTTTTTTCCGCATCTGCGTTTAGAAAAGGGCACAAGGCTCATTCAAATTCATCTGAAGATAACGCTATCTTAAAAGCAATAATAGGCACACAATACGAAATTTAATTCACTCCTTGCCTTGACCACAAGCCCTTGAAATTATCTTCGCTGTCTTAACAAACATTTCATGTCACAGACACCCAAATCTAATCCTTAAAAAGTCTACTGAATAATTACGCAACCTTCAACATCACTGAAAAGCAAAAAGCCAGTAAGAGGTCATAACAAGGCGTAACTTTTCCCTGAGATCTTCTGCCCTCCCAGACACTCGCAGACCACTCCGTACAGTTGACGCCGACCCAAAAGTTTTGCCATCACTGAACATTCAGTCAGAGCAGCTGTAAAAGTAGGTAATTTGAGACCAACAGCAGACAATCGAGCCGCAATCTAACGCCCTGACATTGCTCATTTGGAGGTGGGTAGTTTTTGCGTTACTTTTCAGGTAGACTAGGTTCTCTTGGTGTAGCAACCTGTAGACTTCATCTGCCTCGTAGTCCTGGGCCAAAACTAGCCCCCGCGATCCTGGAGAAGCAGCCGCCTGCCCTTTGGACGAACAGTTCCTGATGACACCAGAACCTGCCTCAATGAGTGGTAACAAAAGGCAAACTCTCCCTCCGCCCTTCCCTAAAAACACAAGGCCATTTACTCTGCCAGAAAGCATCCTTGCCACATTAATAGAAAGCAAGAAAAACACACACCCCTATTTGATTTCTTTCATACATTTCAACCACTCAGCAAACAAGCAGTTCACATCCAAGAACCCACAGGGCTCAGATAAGAAAGCTCCCCAGACAGGAGACAAACTGTTCTGCAAGCTGTTTTGCACGCATAGCTCAGTACAAGGTGCATTCCCCTCCTCCCAGCCTCCTCCTTCCAGGAGGACTAGAGGCACCGCCTGCCTGCTGGCTCACTCCTTCCCCATCTCCACACCAGCTTTCGGGGCCTCTGGGCTGCTGTACCGCCACAAGAGTCCCCCGTACGACGAGCGTCCCGCATCTCCGCCAAGGGGAGTGGCAGAGCCCAGGTCTCAGCTGATGCCTCTCTTCGCCCAAGCGCAGTCAGGACTCCAAAGCAGGGGGGGTCAGGCAGAAGGGAGGGACAGTCCCTTTGCAGCCTGGGAGACGAACGGCTGCGAATATCGGCCGGTGTCATAGGAAGGGGTCAATACATACAACTCCAAGACCCGCTACTGGTGGAGCCTGAGCTGCACAGCCCCCTAGACAAACACACAAACCTCCAGCCTGACAACACGTGCCATCCCACCGGTACCAACAGCGCTGCTCGCTGCTAAAACCAGAGACAGCTCAGTCAGGGTCATCTCGGGGTTTTGTCCTTTCGGGTGAACGAAATCAAGAGAGGCACACAACACGAAACAGAAACATTCTCCAGGTCTGGGGACGGGGAGAGGAAATCAAAAGGAAAAGCAGCACACTCAAAACGTGCTGTCTTCTGCCTAGGGAGAGGGGTTTGGGGTTTAGAAGAAGAACAGATGCATGTCACATACACAACAGAGATAACAACAGGAGCCAAGCACACAGTTGTGGGAAGTTTATCATAGACACAGGGAGACACAGAAGAGAGGTGGTGGAGAGGAGCTTGTCCTACCTTTTCTGTTTTCAATTTCTTGATTCGCCTGTGGCTCTCCTCCTCCTCCTCTTCCTTCTTTACCAAAATAGAGTTCCCCATTAACCCTGAATCCGGGGTACTTTTGCTCACCTCCCCCACGGCGGAGGAGGCGCAGTGGAAGGGGCTGCTGCTCCCACCACCGCCTCCCTTGGCCCCGTAGCCATACAGGTGCCCAGGGGGAGCTTGGCTGCTGCCACCCCCACTGCCGTTGGGGTGGCCCTGCTGCAGGTCATGCTGCTTGTCCTTCCTGGATTTCCCTGCATCCTTATCCCGCTTGGAGCCTCTGCTGCCCTGGTTTTTACCTGGTTTCTCCTCTTTGTTTTTCCCACAAGAGGCAATAGTGTTGTTGTTGCTGGTGTTGTTATTATTGCCATTTGGGTTACTGCTCACACTTTGACCCAGTGCTGAATTCATGCCAGTTGCCTCTCCAGGGCGCCCTTGGACTTCCTGCCTCTTGCCAGCACTGCTGATCTCAGGAATCCCATACAAGGCAGCAGAAGGCAGAGATTTATTAGCATCCTTAGAAGTTTTACTCCTTTTCACTTTTGATTTGCTAGTCTCTTTGTGAGAGGAATTCCCCTGGGGAGCAGAGGGCTGAACAGAAGCAAATTTTAGGCCATCAGCTAAGGCTGAGGTAGCATTAGCCCCACTGGAAGCCAGACCCCCGCAATCCTTGGAGCTGGTGTTGCTGCTGCTGCTGGTGTTCGTGGAATTATTCATCTCAAATTTCTGTCTGTCCTTTTCCAAATCGGCGTCCAAATCGATTATTAAATTCCCAACCCCGATTTCCCAATCATCGCCACTGTCATAAGTATCAACCGCGTTTGGATCCACACCTTTTCCTGCAGTGGAAGTGTTCACTGACATCCTGAAGATGAGATCTCTAGAATAAAAATCCGATGAACTTTCCTTTGGAGATGTGGGGACATTCGTTTATCTCCGTTGGGCTTTTTAAAATTTAACTCTTCTTGTCTTCCTCCCCCAGGTATGTCTAGGTTTATACCCTGCAGTCCACGTCCACCTTTTCCTGTGAGGAGGGGAAAAGTCGAATATTTCTTGTCTGGGTGTTACCAGATATAATACGGTTAATAAAAAGGGGGCAAGGTAGGGGGAGCGAAATCATTCAATATTTCCACGGGTTTGTTTGCTTTTAAGTTTGTTAAACTGGAGGCAATGGCTGTGATGCTTTTATAGTGAGCATCTTGAATCTAGTTGTATCCCAACATCCACGATCTCTCTTAAAAAGTCATGTCCAAAAAAAGAAGAAAAAAAAAAAGAACAAAAATTTAACTACATGATTTAAATCCACAAAGCTCAGGAAATACAGATTTAGGACTCGTGCCTAGCTGCTGGAGCACATGTTGTAATCTAACCCCCTGGACCACCACCTAGGCACAAAAGGGAGAAAAGGAAGGACACAGATTCACTCTTCAGTGCATTCCATGGATTTTGTGGCTTTAAACCAGACCCTTGAAGTTTTGTGACTTTCCTGTATTATCTTTACCTCTTTTTCTACTTAATCTTTTGGGGAGGGGGGGGTGAGGGGGGGAGAGAACGGAGGGAAGTGGGAAACCTAATTTTCCCTGACACAATACAGCTTCTATTAAAAGCCAGCAACCTACATATACAAACGTTCACTGAAAATCATTAAACTCCACAGGTAAAAAAAAAAGAAAAAGAAAAAGAAAAAGAAATTAAGAAGTCTTCTTTCTCTTAAAAATACACTCAAGCTAACAGTGCTAAAAGCAGTTCTAATGTACTCCTAGGTCACACAATTGTTAGGTCTGTTAAATATAGCATTACTGACTGTACAGGAAACTGATTAAGACATACACTTTAAGTGATCTGCACCAAGGTGGCCTCAGTGACCGCAAATGAGTGTGTGTTTGACAAAGCTTAGTTAAAACGATTTTTAAAGGGATCTCTCCCTTTTACAGTCGACTGCTGAAATATTCATACATATATATAATATATGCATATTGCTTACCTTTAATCCTTTATCATTTTTTAATTAAACCAGCAAATCAAAATGCTGTTCCCACTCGTCTCAGCAACAACTCTGTGCCTCATTTTACTTAAAGAGCAAGTGATCAAGAAGTAGAAAGCAAGTAACATCTCAGCCAGTATAAATCGGTCAATAACATATCTCCCCCTACTTTGGCACACGGATCAGAAGTCCTTTTTTGTTTGTTTTGTTTTTTCCTCCTCGCTTTAAAAAAAAAAAACCGCTGCTCCTCACAACTTTACAAGCTGGTAGGTCATTTCTCACACTCACAACAGAAGCATCGAGGACCGGGTTTTTTGTTTGTTTGCTTCCCTGGATAAGCACCGAGCGGTAACAATCATCAGAGCAATTTTTAAAAATGTTTCCCCAACTTCACACTCCGTCTTCAGCCCCGGCCCTCGGAGCCATCCCGATCAGTAAGTAATGATCCCATGAAACAAACCTACAGGCGTCCGGGTGTTACAAGACAGAATGTGCTAACATCGGGATAAATTAGTGAAAGGGAGGAAGGAAAAAAAGAAGAAGAAAGGACTGAAAATCTGGGCTGGATTCCGCCTGTTAGTTGGGAAGTGGCATTTTTTTCGCCCGTCCTGACAGATCTGATTTCTTTAAATAACTTGAGGGGAAACGGAGGGGGAGGGGGGGCCGAGGAGGAGGAGCGGGAGGGGGGGAATCACTGATCTGATAAACCGGTTATCAAAACAT